TTAAAAGGCCACACCATCTTGGTCTTCATATATACTTAGTAACTTTTAGAATCTAAATATGTTTTCACTGAGCCACGAAGCCAAATCAATCGGAACAATGGGTAGATTAGCCAGGCTTATAAATCATACATTTTGATTTGATACATCAGAAAATGTTAGGGATAGATCCAATATCCTAAGAATGACTAGAATTTAGAATAGAAACACATTCTATCAAAAATAAATAAATTCATAGGTAGTATTAACAGTCACACGGACTTATTCATATATACTACACTAAATAATTATTTGTTGAGCTTATCTCCATTTCGAGTGAAAGTGTTGGGTGAAGATATTCGAAGGTCGGTTCTACCAGAAGACGACAGTGGATTCCTCTTGAACAGCTGTCGATTGGCTTTACTAGAAGATTCATGCTGACGCTGTTTCCGAGGCAATCCCTTTCGATTCCGGTGAAAAGGTGCTAAGCTTTTGTCCGTCACATGACGAACATCATCAGAGCAAGGTATCATCATCACAACAAAATTCAAGCTAACGAGTCAAGAGTTTTCTTGACTCATATTACTGATTTACTGGTAGTCTCGAAACTCTACTCAAATATGAAAAATAAGTAACGTAGTCGATTGTTATGGCTTTATCAACAATCCCACCAAAGAATATGGCAAAAGTGATAGCATTCCTTGACCCCAGGGCAATCGTGGCAATGTGATCGAGGGGTTAACGTGTCAAGATCATATTATGCACGATCGCGTTTTGACTCCCACAGAGGGTGTTGATAAGACTAATGCGAGGTCGAAACTGCAGTCCACCATGGATGAGAGCAACTTTTGGGAAAGCAAGGCTATGTAAAATTCAATGGAAACGTCAGCTCTACTCAAATCATTGTGGGAAAATTCTACTACCAGTCCTTCATCACCTTAAACGAAAAAGGGTGAATACATCTCATATTATTGATTAACTGGTAGTCTTTAAACTTTACTCAAATACGAAAAATATTATAATTATATTGCTGAATATACTTCCTAGTCTCGAATGAAGGTACAAATAAATAAGTTATTTTTTCATAAGCACAATATATATGACTACAATAATAAAAAAACCCAAATTAAAAAAAAAACAAAAAGATAAACTACATACACGAAGTATTAATTTTGAGAAATGTTCTAACTTGAATAACTGACTCAGAGGAAGCGAAACCCTCTTCCTGATGAAGCTTACTGCTAATGCGTCAGCGCGAGACTTTTTTTGAGCGTGTTGATGCTCGTACTGAAGTTGAACTAAGGCTAACACATTCAACGGCAGGTTCTGATCGAGGCGAACTACAATTTTTAGTTGCTAAAAGTTTGCCCTGCCCTTTTTTGACCATCGGTGCAGCGATCTGAAGGTAGTGGCATTGCGGATGGTTTGGCACTAGTAAATGTCTCAGCAAGTCTAGAAACAGCTGCACAGCGAGGTCTGGCGGTAGTCGCAGTGGTGTTAGAGGCTGGAGTAGGAGTCGCACAAGCTAAACCACGCAATCTGCCGAAATGTGTTCGTGTTGAATCAAGTGGCGTTGATTCCTCAAGAGGAGGCAAGTTTGTTACATTACGGCCTCTTGCACGAACAGTTGCGACCTTATAAAAAGAGACAATATGTCACAAGGATAAGTGAAATATAAAAAATGAAGAATAAAATTTACTGTTTTTGAGCATATTTCATTTTTCGAGTGTGTAGA